ACCTCTACAGGCAACACCCGCTCGGGCAATTGCAACACACCAATGACAGAACACTTAAACTCGCTTCTCAGTCATGTAAAAGCAACTGTCATCACCCCACAAAACAGATAGCCGGCATTCTCAGGCCTGGCTGGACGCAGTCAGGACCAGTCCTGGCTTCGCCACTGGCCACTGCCTGGGATTCAACCTGATGATTGTAGTGATCTAGGCACAACCACTACTTAGACCCCTACAATATAGAGTTTGATCTACCCCAAACCGTGGGTTCTAACGTGAACTACCTACTTTATGTTTCAGCGTCACCTGAGCCTGGCTGAACTTGCTGCGCCATTGGGAAAATTGCCGGAACCAGTTACATCCCCCACGGGTAAGTGAGGACTACTTGTCTTCTTTTTCCCACCGCCCCCCCCCGCCGCCTTCCTTTTTGCCTTTTTACCATTCGCCGACTTCTTTCCGGTGGGTTTATTTACACGCAATTCTGGAGTCAATCGACAAAATTCTTGTCAGTCCTCAATAACAAAATCTGCACGTTTTGCAGGAGTCAGCAATATGTTTGGTATGGATTAGATGCTGTCTAAGTCTGTACGCAAGCTTATCCGTCAATTAGGCGGAAGAAGGGCTTTTTTTTCTGGAAGAGGAATCATAACATGCGCGCTTGCGTTGTGCCGTTTAGGGGTGGGGAGTGGGACGCTGTTTTGCATCACTAAAGTCGCAATTTAAGCGGCATTCTATTAAAGTACTGCAATCTTTTCACTCCGTTTATGGTGGCACAGAAAACAGTGCTGCCTATCAAACACAAAAACTTTCTCCTGGTAGGCTTTGAGCTCTAGCCCTCCTCGCGCGCGCACTAAATGCGCCTACTGTGATTGGTTGATCCACAGATTTGGGCTACTAAATGACCGCTGGTTTTCTCTCTCTTTCTCCCTCTTGTGTGAACCCGAAACATAAGACAAATCATTAGTAGGGGGAGGGGTTAGCAAATTTGAATAATTTAGTTGACTCAATTGTGAAAAATGTGTGGCCACGGTGAGACTCGAACCCACATCTGCAGGGAAGGCTTTAGTACAGCCAACGCTCTACCGAATTCCCCTGATAGTTAAGTAGACCTGGTTGTAATTCTGGTGGATTCTAGATGATTGCTTGGGGAGTCCTGCCTGGGCAGTCAGCTTACTGTATCCGTAATGCTGGATTCCATACCAGCAGTAGGCTGGGCTATTAAATCATGTTGTAACGGCGGCCAAATACTACGTTATCGCCGTCTAAGTTACGCCTTGTGTGAGCCCCCAAAGGAATAACAAGACAGGTAGTGGACTAAAG